AAAAAAAAAAAAAAAAAGACTTTTTGATGGGACAGCCCCAAACGGGGGGAATTTCTGGGGAGGAATTTCCCCAAAAAAGGAGGAAAAGGAGGAAAAATCCAACAGCAAAAAAAAAAATGTCCCGGATTTTTTTATTTATTCCATAATTATGTTGAGGTTTTTTATTATTTTAAGCTGTTTTTCCGTTGGTTTCTTTCTTTTTTTTTTGCGTCTCAGCATCCTGGTGGGATTGAAAAGAAAAACCCAGGAATTTTCTCTCGGTTGAAATCATCAGAACTCCGGAAAAACTTTGGATTTTCCGGGAAATACTTTGATTTTTTAGCGCTTTTTAAACCGATATTTACGCTTTTGTTTTCGGGTTGATAAAACCCCTTTTTCGAGGGATTTCGAGGGATTTGAACTCTCCCCGGTGGGAATCCGGCAGGAATCCTTCGGGAAAATCGATGGAATTTGGGACGGGGAGCGTGGCTTTGTACATAGGGTGTAAAGTAGAGGGGCAAAAAAAAAACAAAACAAAAAAAAAAAAAGACAAAAAATCCGAAATTTGTGCCTTTAAAATTAAATTCCGATTTCTATAAAAATCAGATTTAAGAAAGGGTTGCATATATATATTATATATATATATGATGGAATGCTAGAGAAATTTATGGATAATATACATATTTTTTTCCAGGGGTATCCCATAGCTCCGTATTTTGTTATGGAAGTTAAAAAAAAAAAAAAAAACACGGAAAAAAAGGAAAAAAAAAAGCGAAAAATAAAAGTATTTTACCTCGAATTCAGAACGTTAAATAAAAACCTTTTAACAGAGAGGCGCCGCTGCTTTCTTTGGGGCTTCTCCCGGGGTTTGGGATTTTTGGGAAGGGATTCCCGGGATCCCGGAAATTCCCCAGCTCCCGCTGCTTCTGTCTTTGGGGGTTTTGGGTGTCCCCAAATCCTCAGTGTCCCCAAATCTTTGATGTCCCCAAATCCTCACTGTCCCCAAATCCTCACTGTCCCCAAATCTTTGATGTCCCCAAATCCTCACTGTCCCCAAATCTTTGATGTCCCCAAATCCTCACTGTCCCCAAATCTATGCTGTCCCCATGTCCCCAAACCCTCTGTCCCCATGTCCCCAAATGTTCCATGTCCCCAAACCCTCAGTGTCCCCATGGGTGTCCCCAAATCTTTGGTGTCTCCAAATGTACGCTGTCCCCATGTCCCCAAATCTTCCGTGTCCCGAAATCCTCAGTGTCCCCAAACCCTCCCTGTCCCCACACCCACACTGCCCCCATGGGTGTCCCCAAACCTTCCCTGTCCCCATGGGTGTCCCCAAACCCTCCCTGTCCCCAAACCCTCCCTGTCCCCATGGGTGTCCCCAAACCTTCCCTGTCCCCAAACCCTCCCTGTTCCCATGGGTGTCCCCAAACCCTCCCTGTTCCGAAACCCTCCCTGTCCCCATGGGTGTCCCCAAACCCTCCCTGTCCCCAAACCCTCCCTGTCCCCAAACCCTCCCTGTTCCCATGGGTGTCCCCAAACCCTCCCTGTTCCCATGGGTGTCCCCAAACCCACACTGTCCCTGTGTCCCCTCCCTGTCCCCGTGTCCCCCACACCCGAGGTCTCTCTGTGTCCCCGCGGGCGCTGCCGGGCCGGGGATCGGAGCGGCCCCGGGGCTGTGCGGGCTGAACGAGCCCGGGGCTTGGAGCTGCCCCGGGCCGGGGTTGGAGTTCCCGGACCGGGATCGGAGCTCCGGGGCCGGGATTGGAGCTCCGGGGCTGAACGAGCCCGGGGATTGGAGCTGCCCCGGGCCAGGGTTGGAGCTCCAGGGCCGGGGATTGGAGTTCCCGGGCGGGATTGGAGCTGCCCGGGGCTGAACGAGCCCGGGGATTGGAGCTCCGGGGCCGGGATTGGAGCTCCCGGACCGGGATTGGAGCTCCGGGGCCGGGATTGGAGCTGCCCCGGCCGGGGATTGGAGCTCCGGGCCGGGGTTGGATCTCCCGGCGCTGTGGGGGCCGGGCCGGCCGGGATTGGCAGCAGCCCCGGGCCGGGATTGGCGCTGCCGGGCCGGGGCTGGAGCTGCTCCCGGGGCTGGAGCTGCTCCCGGGGCTGGAGCTGCTCCCGGGGCTCTCCGCAGCCCGGCCCCCGGCGGGAGGGGCCGCGCCCCAGAGCCGGGCCGGGCCGGCACCGAGCGCTCCGGGCCGGGGCTCGCTCCCGGACCGGCACCGAGCGCTCCGGGCCGGGGCTCGCTCCGGGCCGGCACCGAGCGCTCCGCCGGGGCTCGCTCGGGCCGGGGCTCGCTCGGGCCGGGGCTCGCTCGGGCCGGGGCTCGCTCGGGCCCCGCGGCCGCCGGGCCGGGGATGGTGGCGGGGCCGGGGCGGCGGCGCCGGGCCCGGCCCTGAGGGAGCCGCGCCATGAGCGTGCGGCCTCCGCAGGCCCCGGACAGGTACGGCCGGGGGAACCGGGGAACCGGGGCTTGGGGAAACCCGGGGGAACCCGGGGCTTGGGGAAATCCGGGGGGAACCCGGGGAACCGGGGCTTGGGGGGAA